GAATGCGCGTGCTGAAAGCCTCTCTGTCCGTGAGGTGCTGGGTTCAACTCCCCTTGGTGGTTATTTTTTCTTTTTGGCGTTTTTTAAAAACTTGTTATTTTAAAACTCCAACTTATGGCCTATTGGTCCAATTTTTAAACCCCTTCCAACCGCAGATCTGAGAGCACAACAAATCTATTGCCATCCGCGTATCTCCTTCAGACCTCAACCACTTCTTATTAATTCTTTTTCTTTAATTAATTACTACAGTTGGTAAGATTGAATTAACAAATTTATGTAATTATGAATGTTTTTTTTTGAAATTTTATGATTAAGGATAAAAAGGTATTTCGGTAGTGTACCCAAATTTAAACAAATTCGGAGTACCGAGAGTAGTTAATGTATTCATTCAAATGTTTAGTAAATAAAGAATTGGATCTAGTACTTGCTGAAAGTGAAATTAATTTGGCGTATAATCTACATGAACAACATACTGATTTCATCATAATGTTCAAGAGAGGGTACACGGTAGTTACTGTAAAAAAGGGTCGTTTCAACTTCGGGATCATGATTTCCCTATTCAAGTAATTGACGGCAAAAAAACGTAGATTCGTTTCAAGTTGGTTTGATGAGCATAAATGGTTGGAATACATTATTGCCAAAGATACTGCATTTTGTTTACCGTGTTATTTGTTTAGGAATGAGTGGAAAGTTAGTGGTAATCATTTTTTGGGAATATGATTTTCAGCATGGAATAAAGAAATACTCCGTAGGTTTTATGTACACGTTGGTGGACCTATATATTATAGAATATTTCCAACAAATGAAACCTATGAGGTACTTTTGTAGAATTGTAGAATAACTTTTATATGTAATTTTTTGCTTTATATCATCTTAATATTTTGTTAACTATGAAACGTTATGCCTTTTTAAATTTTATATTAATGAGAGTTACATTAGTTTAGGGACCCCGTGATTCTGAGTTTCTGGGTCCGCCACTGATCTACATTATATGTGTATAAAATGTATATACAGTATACACCAAACATTACATTACATTATTACATATACATTTATACTCACCCGTTCTATACAGCTTAGCCAAAAAATTCCACCGGGAACCGCCCCAATTGACGACGGGCGGGCAAAACCTACTATATAAGGGGCTAATTGAACATTTTAAGTCAGTTCAAGGGTCTATTTGACCCTTTAGCCAAAGTTATTAGACCGAAGAGGTATTGATGATTTTTTTTCGATGGAATGAAAGTGGTAAAATGAAAAGCACTACACAAGTATATAAAATGCTAATTGAACACTTTAAGTTAGTTCAATGACCTATTTGACCCTTTAGCCAATAACTTTCAACACGTTAAGAAACACATTTTACATAGGCAAGTACTAAGTAGTATATACGAAATAGATTCATATTTTACTTAATAGACTTAATCGAATTGTGACTTAATCATTCGGTCATTAAGTTGACCAATCAAACAATTCACTTGATCATTACGTTGTAATATACTCCGTAGCAGTTTTTCCCATTGTGACACCTATTAAGACCCCTATTTAGTCATTTTTCTTATATCGTTTATCAAATAGGTATATGTAATTATGTAAATATAAGAAAATAGTAATACTTAATTGATCATTTTTCTCAACTTAATTTGTTTGTTTAGCACATAAATTAACGGTGAAATTTACATTAATAATCCATACTTTTAATGATTCTATGTTAATAATCTATACTAAACAAATGGATAGAAATAATCCAAACATGTACCCATGTTTACAAAAATAGATTAAATGAGATGGGGTTAACTATTCTGTTTCACACATTGAATCACCTTAGTTTTCTTCTCACGCTCAATGTTCTCTTCATCCCCTTTCATCAGTGACTATACTCTTCTTCCATCTCTGTACTTAACCAGTTTTTTCCTTTATTGTCTTTTGAGGAGATTCTTTGTTTCCCCCTTCGTGCTTAATCGTCTTTAATATGAGGTATTTCAAATTCTTTTTCTCCTCCCACTTTCACTCTTTGTCTTTTCAATTGAAATCGCAAATAGCAGCCCATCCGTTGAATTCTCATTTAATTAAAATGGAAACTCCATGCTCTCTCATTTCCTCATTCGTAAACCCCATTCCACTTGTTCACAACTCAGAGCTTTTTATGCAAAGCTGCTCTTATTAACGCCCCAGGGTTTGCGTTGATTTCTTATCCATGTGTTTGCCTTTGCTTCGTTTAGAATTAGGGTCTGTCCTTGTGGTTGACCTTTGTTTAATTTAAATGTGTAGATTTAGCATTTGCAAGATTAATAAGAAAATGGGGTAGATATTTATGAGAGAGGATTGTGTGCTGAATTTAATGAATGATCTCAACAACTGAAGCACTTGAAAAGAATATACAGTAGCAAAGAAGATGATAATTTACAGGAGACAACTGATTTCATGGAAAGAGAAAAAAACTACTCCGTATGTATACGCAAATTATACCGTGCAACCGGCATACCATGAGCATGGTATGCCGGTCCTAACACGGTGTCGTTTTCCCCCTCCCTAAACTCATTACGGAAGCTTTCTTTTTCCTCCGGTTAGTGCTTTCTTTCTTTTTCCTCCGGTTAGTGTTTTCTTTCTTTTTCATCCAATTAGTGCTTTCTTTCTTTATTTCTTTATCTTTAACTAATTAAAATACAATTGAATTTACATTTTTTCTTTACATAATTTTTACAAAATTTTATTAATCCACATAAATAAATAAGTATATTTTATTTCATAATTCTTTTCTATTTTTTTTATTCTTTATCAATGCATACCAAAAAAATTATTAATCTAAATAAAATAAGTGTATTGCAATTAATATTCATACACTATTTTTTTGTATTAATTTTTATATTCATATACTTTTTTTTAATATACTTTTTATATTCATACACTTTTTGTTATATTTTTTATATGGACAAAATTTATAACTTTTTTTTTATCACTTTTATATATTTTTAGAGGTTTTTAAGACATTGAGTTTGTTTATTTTGATTTTTGAAGTTACATTTGATAATATATCATGAATTTACATCTTCTTCTGCGCGAGTTATATCTTATTGTACGCGAGTTACATCTTAATGTACGCGAGTTACATATTTTTATACGTAAAGTTACATATTTATACACACGAGTTGCATTTGGCTTGCCTGAACGCGAGTTACATATTTTTACACGTAAAGTTACATATTTTTGCACGTAAAGTTACATATTTATACACGCGAGTTACATATTTATACACACGAGTTGTATTTGACATGTCTGAACGCGAGTTACATATTTTTACACGTAAAGTTACATATTTTTACATGTAGAGTTACATATTTATACACACGAGTTGCATTCTGCCTGCCTGAACGTGAGTTACATATTTCTACATGTAAAATTACATATTTGACATAGGTTAATATAATAGTTCGATAATATATTAAAATTACATAGGCAATATTGGTCTCATTTGAAAGATCATGAAAAATAAAAAAATTTGGTATAAATTTTATAAAAACCAGATTACAAATGAAAAAGTTATTATAGTTTTTAACAATAAAAGAAATAAATAAATAATAAGACCCACTATCATTTTAATACATGTTTCATGCGGAGCTTCCAAAGATTCCTAAAACCGTATGCCGGTATACGGTGCTCACCGTATACCGGTCATACGGTATAACAACTGGTATGTATAATAAGTACTATGAAGGTAGGGTAATGGCCATGGAGATGAGATTTAACGGAATAGTTAGTGACATTTACTTTAATCTATTTTTGTGAACAAGTTTGAGAGTTCAGATTATTTTTATCAATTTATTCGGTATGGATTATAATTGTAGAATTTTGAAAAGTAGGAATTACTTAGATGAATTTCGCCTAAATTAAATAGTCTCATATATGAATATTACTTAATCAAGACATACATCTTAATATAGACATACATCTTTGTTTAGATAGAACTCAATACTCCATCCGTCCAATTTTATTTGTCTTACTTTATTTTTGGGTTTTCCCAAAACGTCTCTTTTTTTGGGAAGAAGTATGTGGTGCACATCATTTTATTTTATTATACTCAAATTTCAATTACAAGTTTTACTTTTTTGAACTACTTTATTAATAATTGTGCCAATTCAAAGTATTGCCATAAAATGGGTCGGAGTTAGTAAAAAAGAATAAACAACCTCATAATGTAACTTCTAAAAAGAGGTCAAAGGCGTTCCAAAGTGCAGAATCTATCTGATGTGTCTATGCACTCAAACTTGAAGTAATGTTATCACGTATAATCGTCATATAATGATTTGTCATTTGATAGTCACCTTGTGCAGAATTAGCTTGAACATCTTGAATAACAACATGAGGTATAAATTCAGGATCTTCATCAATGAAATCATAATAAGCTGGATCAAGTTTGCTTTTTGTTATGTAGTTGTGTAATGCAAAACATGAGCATATGATCCTATTTTGATCGATCAATGAATACTTTGGCATTCTTTATAATATCTTCCATCGGGCCTTAAGAACACCAAATGCCGCTCGTGATTAAATACTTCTCGTGACCCTCTTGGTCGTGATCCACGAAACACTGATTGATGGACGATGGTATTATGTCTTAGGGTATGGCGTCAAGTACCCATATCTTTCTGGATAGCCCTTATCAACCGAGTAATACTTTCTCAAGAGAATATATGCAACAAATAATATTAGAATTCAATTTCTAGACCATGTATGAATGTATGATATATAAAAAGAAATAAATTTATGAACAGGGGCATAGCTAGGGAGGGCCCCACCTAAGTCCCGACCCATCCCAAATTTTAAAAATGCCTATATTTTTAGTGTAAAGAATTTTGTGCAAATTTCATTTTTTCATTTTCATTTACTCCAGTGCCGCAAAAGCTAACACCTATGGTGGGGTAAGGGGGGTCGGATGTACGCAGTCTTACCTCTGTACTAAAGCACAGAGAGACTGTTTCCGGATGACCAATAGTGAAAATCGCAGGACCATCTGTATGCAAATAAAAATACAAATCAACATAAAACTTCAAAATGGTATATACTTGAAGAGTCGAAGCTGCTGGACCATCTGCAGGCTTTTACTTGAAGTACAGAACTCATGCAAGAAACGTACCAAATTTTTCTTTGACTCGTGCAAATTTGTTTCAAAAAAACAATTTTGTACCGGCCCTTTAAAGAATAACGTATTTGTTGGTGGTTTCAGAAAATTAAGGGTTGGATTGTTCCTCGTGTCAAGGAATATGAGTGAATCATGTGCTGATCCCTCCCATCTAGTTAGCACATATGTGAATAGCAAGTTAAAGTCACAAACTGCTAAAACATTTGTAGTTGGTATTTCCTTTCTTCCTCGATGGCGCATTTTGATCTTCCTCAGATATAGCTATTACAATCTGTGTACCATCAATAGCTCCGATACAAGCCTATTATAAAAGAATTCAATAAATATGATTATATTAGTTAATATTATTCATAATAATTTCGTGATTAGCCTAAATCAGATTTTTGTTTTAGACTGGTCATTCTTTTGAGGTTCCAGATGTACTATTTATATTAGCTTTCAAGCCCGTGCAATGCACGGGCAGTATGTAATTTAGCTAATTTGAATTTGATTTCTTTCGGATCATATGTAATGTGATTTAAAAGAAAAATAAACTTCGTCTAATATAGAGCATGTTTAATATAATGTGATTTAAAATAAGTATTGTTTTTAAGATTCTATATTAGAATATCTAATAGTTTTAATTTTGTTTTTTAACTTCAATTATATGGTGGTTATAATTTTTATCATTATTTTAATAATTAAGAAAGAATTGTATGAAGATGGAGCAAAATGCGAGGTGTTAACACAATTGCAAATCCGGGGCTTAGAATTTTAATCATTATCGCTTTCAAAAAAAGAATTTTAATCATTATCTCAACATTGAGTTTAGAAAAAGAAAATATTACATTTTAGGAAATGGGACACTATTATTACATTTTTTATTTTTATCAAATTACTTCAAAGACAAAATTAATAGCAATTTGGCTGATTTATCTATTAAGTGGGCAAAAAACGAATACTTCGTCTCTTTGATAGAATGTAATAAAAAATAAAAAATTATAAAAATAATTAAATATTGTTACTCCGTGAGTCCGTGCTTAAAATTTGGTTATTAATTTTTGTAGTTCCAATTAAATGATTTAATACTTATCAAATACGTAATAAGTTTTGAAAAAGTTACCAAATTAATTAAGGTAGATTTCTACGGATTTTTGTTTCCATATCAATATGCAATAAAAAATAGAATCTAGCTAATAAAAATAGAAGGTATAAAAATAACTAAATAATTAATAGGAAAAATTGACAAAAATAATCCCACCTTTCGCCGGTCTTCTCATAATAATCCCACCTTTAGATAATCCCAGAATAATCCCACGTTTGCACCCCATCTTCTTTTATTGGACCCTGACCATGTTTTTTTACCTTTTTTTGAAAATCATATAAATAATCTCACCTTTCACTTTTCTATTATATCTTTATAAATGTGAGATTATTTATATAAGATTTTCAAAGAAATGTAAAAAACTTGGTCAGGGTCCAATGAAAGAACATGGAGTGCGAAGGTGGCATTATTTTGGGATTATGTAAAGGTAGGATTATTATAAGAAGACCGGTGAAAGATGAGATTATTCTTGTTAATTTTTCCTAATTATATATATATAATGACATGACAGGATTATGCGGCGCTTTGTATGCTCTTAAAAAGTTTCTCTTTTATATATATATATTGATTTAAATCTCGATAGTAACAATCCAAACTTAATTTACAATATCTGAATGACAAGCCCTATAGTACATAATGTCAAACAATTGGGGAACAATTTCGTGTAATTTTCTCAACAGGAAAAAGAGGCAACGAGTCCAGTTGCAATTATCTTTTAAATAGAAATGCATATAAACACCTTGAACCCAAGAAAGAAAAACAGGGTTGTGACAGACCTCAGGGTTCTTTAAAGAGGCAAGTGCGCTCTGGAAAGCAAAAAAGTCTCCAGCCAATACAGATAACTGCATCATTAGAGAGAAAGAAATGTTGCAAAGATAGTTTTCTTTACTCAATTAGCAATTCCATCAGAAAAAGAATTCAGTAATCAAATGGCTTTTATGTTTACACAATTACACTAAACAAATTATCTGTTTAAGAGGATCTGGTCTCTTTTGACCATTTACCAAGAATGAAAACAATAACTCCCTTTTCACATTCCAAAGAGTTAAGAGACTAGATATGTTATACATTCACATAACTTTAAAATAATGTAAACCCACTATTGGGACCAAAGCGTGTTAAACTGAATTTCTTCGTATATCATAACAGGACATTTAACTTGCTACATTTGTCGTTAATGATCGAAACATGTCGTTTTGTATACAAATAAAAGGAACGACAGATTGTGTTGTGTGTGTTAGGAAAGCTAACTGGACAATTGTAATATGGATGGAATACTAAAAGCTTACAGCAATGAAATCTAGAAGCCATAAATTACATCAGTTTATTGATTTCTAACTAAAGAGAACACATTTAGGCACAAAATCATAGTGTACCTTATTTCTCATTACAAAATTGAGTGAGCCAATCCCGCATCTTGTCGGGTAAAGCAGTGCTTTAATAAAGAATGATATGCGGAATGGAAAAGAAGAGCTGAAGGCCTGACGATAGTGTTCTTCATAGAAAGGTCTGAGTGGAAGGTCGTTTGCTACTGCGCAGTGTTTTAACAAGAAATTATCTAGTTTATGAATATGGAATTGAATGGGAATCAAGCAATATCAAATCAACGATGGACGAATCAATATAGGAAATAAATCGGATATTATTGATGTTGATGAATAACCTAAATAGAGAGCTTTGAATACAAAATGATAAATAATACGAATGAGTATATGATCGTAATTGATCGTCCCCCCTCTGTGAATACTATTCTCATGTATATATATTGACTAAGAGATACAGCTATCTATTGTAACTGATCCCTTGGTGGCCGTTTCCACTATCCGAGTAAGCAGGAGCTTCTTCCCCAAGTTTAGCTGCCGTTTCCTATTTTTCCTCCACCTTTAACTACTCGGTTCTATCCTTAGACTTCTTCTTTGATTTGATCTCTTATTTTAATTAACTGATAATGGGTTTCGGCTCTTTTAATGTCTAGACCATGTCTTCTTTCAGCCCATTTAACTTGCTTGAGCAAATATTTCTCGGGTCCAACAATTGCCCCCTTTCGAGAAGTTGAGGCGTATGGGCACACGTGTCAACCCGTCAAGCGTCAACTTGTCGAAATCTTGAAACTTTGATGTCCGTCATCCTTGAACATTGCGCATGTAAGCTCCCAATCTGTCTGATCAGACATGGTGTCAACCTGTCATTCGTGTAAAAAGACACTTCTGTGAACTTGTCATTTTTCTGACGATATGTTTCATTCAACCCGTCATTCATCTGATGAGACAACTTCATTAATCATATGCAAGTAGTTTTTAGATGGAATTTGTCTCCTTGACTGAGGTGACGAAGAACGAAGGCTGGTCTCCTGCCATCTTCCTCCAAATTGGTGCTAATGATCGTATCTAAGCAATGCTGACAAGTTGAAACTTCGTCTAGGTAGATGTCGACACTTCGGTTGGCAAGTGTGATTTCACCCCTCGTTGTTTAAATGAGGGGTTTGACTCTGTGAGTGTAATCGTAACCTGTAAAAACTTTAAACACCGTTTTGTTTGTTGTTTTAATAATATCGTCGACATGAATGTTTATGACGTATGTCAACGTCGTTCGTGTTGTCTTCTTATGTTTCAGAGCTTGTGTTGTCAGTCTCTTAGAGCACGTGCTTCTGTGGTGTATTTTCTGTAGTTCTGGATGTGGTTGTTGTTCCACATGATGATGTCACTTGTACGTGTACTGTTGTTGTTTTGTGTTTGTCTGACTTTGATGTTGTCAGCATTTGTGATGTATGAACTGTCTGTTGTTTTGGCCAAAACATTGATGAGAATCAGTGGTGTTTATACTCATGTTTAACGTACATGAAAACCCCACCTCTTCCTCTAAAATTCGGTAAGCCCCCCGTCAAATGTGTTTTGACGTGTTGTAAGGCTTTGTTTGATGTAAGCCCCCCGTCAATTGTGTTTGACGTGTTGTAAGGCTTTGCATGTTAGGATTCCGTCATCGTCAATTCTTAATTGTACCTGTGCAATAAATATTTCGCTAACGTCGGCCGTTGGCTAAAAGCCAACGGCCCTCCGATGCTTAAGTTAGTGATCATTTGTGGATAAATGGAAGTAATCAATTGAGAATATGTATATGAAACTAAATATCGATCGTGAGAACCTATCTATCGTCAGACGATTTCAATTGTCTCGTCAGGTTTATTATCTGACGACATGACCCCTATCTGACGACTTCAGTCATGTCGCCTGGTCTATTTAATCACGGGAGTGATGTCAATATGCAAAAGAAAATTATTAAAAGTGAAACAATTTTAAGTGTACCGTATTGCAGCTCTTAAGAACCTGACTACCATCGGACGACATGCCCCCCGTCCAACGACTTCGATCATGTCGTCTGATCTACCTTGTCACAGAAGTGACGACTTATTCCTCAGGCCTCGAATAAGGCTTTCCATGCTTGTAGTCATGTCTCCTGGGAGGTTCTGACTTTCCGTGCCCCCCGTCTTGTTCAATTCGTCTGTGACGACATCGTAAGTCTTCTTCTAGACGGATGAAAGCCAGTGCCCTTACTTGGACATCTTCGAAGGACCGACTAGGGTGTTTCGTCAACTCCTGATATAACTCTGAATCCTCCAGCAGTCCCCTTCTAAATGCTTCAATTGTCGTCGGTATGTGACACCTGGGGATTGACACCTTCTCCTTGTTGAATCGGTGCAAGTAATCCCTTAAGGGTTCATTCCGTCGCTGGACTACTCGGTAGAGGTCACTAGTCTGCTTCTCCAAGGCTCGGCTACTTGCAAACTGCTGATTGAATAAGTTGACCAGCTCCGCAAATGAATTGATGCTGTCGTTCGGCAGATTGACGAACCATGTCAACGCTGGTCCTGTCAACGTTGTCCCAAATGCCCGGCACATGCAAGCTTCTCTCTGATGTGGTCTGACCGAGACGGCCAACATTTGTTGTTTGTACTGAGCGACATGTTCCACCGGATCAGAAGTCCCATCAAACAGTCTCATTGAGGGGGCGGCGAACTTCCTCGGAATCTCGACATCGGTGATATGTCGTCCGAAGGGTGAGTCTGCGTAACAAGTTTGCGTCGCCATGTCAAGCGGACGTGGGACTCCAGGTATGTTGTTGAACTTCTCTCGCAATTCCCTCAGTTCCTCCATGATGACGGCCAAGGGATCTGTCAAGTTTGTTTGTATCTGCGGATCCGTTGCTTCGGGAGGCGAATATATGGTGACGACCTCTGGCTCTTGACAGCTTTGATTATTGATGTCGTCATGTCTAGGGATGTCGACATGGCTTGAAACTTGTCGCCTCTGGTTTTTGATGTCGACATATATCTGGGAATGTCGACATGATTTGGAACATGTTGTCTCTGGGGCTGTGCAAACAGATTTCGGAATATGTTCCTTCTGGGATTTGGGGGTGGAAAGGAACGAGATGAGGCCCCTGCTCCTCCAGATGTGTCGGCCCCGAAGTGAGGGATGAAAGGTTCAATTGAAGCCGGAATCGAACCCATGTCCAGTCCCGTTGCCATGGTAGCCACATCCTCGCCCCGTCGTGAGCTTGAGGCTATGGATGCCACCGATTGCACCTGAGATCTCAAAGCGTCATTTTCACCTTGGAGGAAGGCGATTCGTTGACGCATTTCCTCCCGGACAGCTTCTAATTGTGCTACGTTGGAACTTTTGGATGCGCGGAGCTCTTCTCGGACGGCTTCTAGTTGTGCTTGAATCTCGTTAAACAGGGAGTTAGAACTTTCGGCCATAATTGATTCTCCTTTTGCAAGAATTTCCCACAGACGGCGCCAATTGTTTTAACAAGAAATTATCTAGTTTATGAATATGGAATTGAATGGGAATCAAGCAATATCAAATCAACGATGGACGAATCAATATAGGAAATAAATCGGATATTATTGATGTTGATGAATAACCTAAATAGAGAGCTTTGAATACAAAATGATAAATAATACGAATGAGTATATGATCGTAATTGATCGTCCCCCCTCTGTGAATACTATTCTCATGTATATATATTGACTAAGAGATACAGCTATCTATTGTAACTGATCCCTTGGTGGCCGTTTCCACTATCCGAGTAAGCAGGAGCTTCTTCCCCAAGTTTAGCTGCCGTTTCCTATTTTTCCTCCACCTTTAACTACTCGGTTCTATCCTTAGACTTCTTCTTTGATTTGATCTCTTATTTTAATTAACTGATAATGGGTTTCGGCTCTTTTAATGTCTAGACCATGTCTTCTTTCAGCCCATTTAACTTGCTTGAGCAAATATTTCTCGGGTCCAACACGCAGAATATGGAAGAAGAGGGAACAGTACACATGGAAATCATTTATTTATTCGAAAGCCATTTACGAAACAACTAAAAAAGACGTTTTGACCGACCGAAAAAGCCGAATTTGGTCAAATCCGCCAAAATTTAGTTGCAACGCCATTTACCAACATGACCTTTGTCCTTCCCTTAAATTTCCATAACTCACTTCAATGTTCACAACACTTAGAATCACTTTGAGTTTATACTTATTTGTTTGTTGATTTTCCTCACTGTATTCAAGGGTATATCAACACTGCAACTCTGCAAGTACTCCCCCCTATCACCATTTCAGCATACAATTTTACTCGGTACATACACTCCTATCTATCCTTACATTTTATACTAGCTTCATATAAAACTATCGTGCATCTTTTTAACTTTGCTAGATGAATATAATATGCTCCTATATCCATAGATTGACTATGTAATTTTAAATTGAGTTTAATTATTCTGATTTATTGTTTACCCTTTCTCTCTTGATTGTAAAGATTGGTTTATTTAGTTACACTTCAGGTCTAAGGGTTGAGGGATTGAGGATAGCCGTTGCACAGATCCTCGTTTTACGCGGTCGAAGACTCGAAGGATGACCATCACCGAAAATCATTCATCAAGTGGTTCAGGATAGACGTCTTTGAGTGCAATATAATAAAAGTCAATCCTCTCTATGGATAATTAATTTTATTTTTAATAATTAAATTTACATATTCATAAACTACATTAAAATTTCTTCAAAGTTGTAAACTTCAAATTAGAATATAATTAAAAATTGACATCCTAATTAAGTGAACAAAACGAAACTGTTTGATCAAGAAAAGTCAAATTTGCAAATCATTTTGGGACGGATGTAGTATATCTGTTTCTCTTAATATTCTTCACAAGGATTGTATCTTATTTTCGGGCAATTGTTAGAATAATTCTTTTGGGTTTTATTATGTAATTAATGTGTATTCTTGTAAAGCATTAATAGCCCATAGGTCTACGTAGTACTTGTATAAATATTTCTCTTGAGCTTAATGTAACCTAAGGCAATTAGTCTATTTTTATTTTGATACGTGCGATTCCAACATGGTATCAGAGAAGTGAGGTGCGGCTCTTCTCCCGATCGTACGCAGAAGGTTTTTAACGAAACCAGCGTGTCGTTCTTCGGCGGCCATGGCAGGAGATGCTGAAGCTTCGAATATTGATCCAACCTCACCATATTATCTCGGGTTCGGAGATCAGCTCGGAAATCTTATCACTCATGTGATTTTCAAGGGTGATAATTATGTGGCTTGTTCTAGGGCTATTACTTTGTCCTTGAAGGCACGCCGGACGCATGTCTTCATCGATGGAACGATGCAAAAACCAACCGAAGCGAAACAATTACAAAATTGGGAAACGGTCAATTCAATGATTATTTCTTGGTTCTTGCGGAGCATGGATGCGGCAGTTGCAGGCTCAATTCCATTCCATGACGAAGCCAGAAGTATGTGGAAGTACCTTGAAAAACGTTTTAGCGTTGCTAACGGCCCGCGCTTGCAGCAGCTTTGAACCTCGATTGCGGATATTAAACAGGCTAAGGGGATGTCGGTTGATGCCTATTATACCCTGTTGATGGGGTTGTACGATAAATTACACCAACTGAAACCACTTCACGCGTGTACGTGTGGAGGGTGTACTTGCGGCGTCGTTGAGAAATTCGCTGAGGATCGGGATGAAGAACAGCTCCACCAATTTTTAATTGGTATAGATGATGAACTCTATGGGACCGTGAGGTCCAATTTATTGTCTTGAACACCCCTGCCGGACATCAGCATGACGCTTCAAGTGTTTCAGCAGGAGGAAAGCTTACGTGCTATAGCACATGGGAGAGCAACAGCGGGTGAAGTTACTGCCTTCTATCTACAGGCTGACCGTCCGAAGAGAAAACAAGAAAACCAGACTGCTCTAAATTGGTGTGTACCCATTGCCGGTAGAAGGGTCACGAAGTCAGTTCATGTTTCAAGCTCGTGGGGTACCCTTACTGGTGGGAAGACCGCGGAAAGAACAAACCTGCTCCTCCGGGGCGAGGAGGAGGCGCACGGGCTCACGCAGTGGCTCCTGCGTTGGGGGCTTCGGATCAACCGTCTTCCTCAACTAGTAGTACTGGCAGCCCGCTTAGTATGCTGAGTAAAGAGCAGGTGCAAGCCCTCTTACATATGATTAATTTCGAAGTAGGCATCAGTGACCATATGACGGGTAAGCCCTTTTATTATGACTGGATCCTTGACACTGGAGCATCTCATCACGTTACCGAAGACATATCTCGTCTTATTAACGTCAGAAAATTTCTGTTTGTCGGGTTGGCTTGCCAGGATGGACGAATGGTTGATGCCACGATAGCGGGACGTGTGCAATTATCTCATGATTTTATTCTTGAACATGTTCTCTTTGTTCCGGGATTAA